TCTTCTTCCCATAACTTCCGGTGATGTCAGGGGTGTTGCATATGCTAATGAGCTATTATGCTAATAGCCTAGTAGCTCATTAGCATACTGTATGCTAATGAGCTCCTGCAGCTCTTTTTCTATGAAAAGACCCCTGAGTAAACTAATCCAGATGTAACCAGGGCATGCACAACAGTGGTCTGATCTTATCTGCTCAGGAAAGGTTGCAGCTGGCTAACCAGACAAATCTAGTAAAAGACACTTCTGTCCACAGCTGCCACTTGCTTATCCAGCAGTAGTCCTAGGTCCAAGACCACCTCCAAAGTACAGACCTTTCCTTCAAGGGGAGTGCAATCCCATCAAGAAGAGCTGACATCTTAAATCCCAGGCTAGACCTTCCACTCACCAGTAGCATTTCCATCTTGTTAAGATTTAGCTTCAGTTTATTAGACCTCCTCTACTCCAAAACTGCCTTCAGATGGTTCAGGATTCAAAACAATTACAAAATGATCATTAAGTCTGTGGTAAATCAAGGATTGCCATTACAAGTTATCTGTCAATTTTGAGTTTATCGTTCAAATAATTAATAATAAAAATAAATGGAGTTCAAGCCAGTTTTAAAGATCCTTCAACTACTTAATGGTAAAGATATAAGGTGTGTGAATCAATTAAGAGTGTTTTCTGTAATGTTCCTTCTGAGTCAGCAAAAGCATCTAGCCATGATGACCATTTGGTCATAAACATAGTAGAGGTAACCTGTCTATCTTGCTGAGCATTCCAGACTGAGGTATTGTCCAGTAAAAAATATTCCCATACCTTTTGGTACCACTGACGCATCGAGGGGAGATTCTTTAATTTCCAATTTGAAACAAGCACGTTTTGCTGCTTCTAAAATGGTGGAAATGAGGTCTTTAGTATTTTGGGTCTTTATGGATATAATGACCTGTTATCAAATGAATTTGTGATATGGTTTCACTCCAAAACCGATTAACCTTCCGACACGACCACCAACAATGGTAAAAAGAGCCTTTTGTCCCATATAGTTTCCAGCAAGATGATGACATTATAAAATATGAGAGTTTTGATGGGGTGAGATGCCAACGAAGCAAAAATTTTGTTGCCTGTTGTTGAATAGGTAAGGAACATGAGGTATAACTTGATGAGGTCCAAATCTTTCCCCATTGATAAGTAGTAAATGGTTCAGGATTTCTACAGCCTCCCTCAGATTGGCAAGAAGCATGAGATAAAGCTGAGTATCATCAGCATATTGGTGATAAGGTAAAGGTAAAGGTTTCCCTTGCTTGAAAGCCAGTCGAATCCAACTCTAGGGATGCAATGCTCACCTCTGTTTTCAAGCCGAAGAGCCAGTGCTGTCCAAAGATGTTTCCATGGTCATGTGGCCGGCATGACTAGACACCGAGGCGCATGGAATGCTGTTACCTTCCCACCGAAGTGGTACCTATTTATCTACTTGCAATTTCTTGCTTTCGAACTGCTAGGCTGTCAGGAGCTGGGACCAGAGACGGGAGCTCACTCCATCATGCAGCACTCGGGTCTCAAACTGTTGAACTACCGACCTTCTGGTCTGCAGTTCAGTGTCTTAACCACTTGAGCCACCGCAGCCCCTTATATTGTTGATAACCGAGCTCAAATATCCAGATGACCTCATTCAGAGTTTTTATGCAGATCTTGAAATACACGGGGGATAAGGTGGAATCCTGCAGGACCCCACAGGACAACCTCAAAGGACTGAGAGTGGCAGTCCCTCAGCACTGCCTTCTGTAACCTACCTTCCAGGTAGAACCAGGACTACTACAAAACAGTGCCTTCCAGAAGGATACCCTAATCAATGGTACTGAAAGCCAAAGAGAACTCCAGGAAAATCAACATAGGCCCCGGTCACACGGGCTGGATATCACGGGGGGGAGGCGTGGCTAATTGCCCCAGAGGGAACTAATGCGTAGCAGCCCGAGCACACATTCCAGTCGAGGTCCCGTGGTTCGGGGAAAATGCCGATCAATCGAGTATCCTGCAGCGCGGCACAGAAGCCGTGCCACGCGATCGCATTAGCAATTGCTCTTTGTGTGCATGCGTTGTTGGGTGCTGTTGCGCAACCTGCAGAGACGAACAGCGCCGGGCGCCGGATGCCACGTAAGTCCACCGGGAACGGATCAGATGCCCGCCCTTGGCCCATGGTTTCAGGAAACTAGTACCTCGTAGGTACTAGTTTTTAACTCCTCACCTTCGGCGGAGAGCCACGGGTTCACCATGGGAGCACTGTGCTTCCCAGATGTTGGGGTGAGATCGCGCCTGGAAAATCCGCGGGACTCCCGTGCCTCTCCCATGGCAACTTTGCCGTGTGACCGGGGCTATAGTCACACTCCATCTCCCAGGGCAACCAAGGCTGTTTCAGTCCCATAACCACATTTGTGGCCAAACCATGAACCAAACCTGGAGATTCATTTGTGAGCGGAAATGGTTTCTGGCCTCGCAAAACCTGTTGAAAGAGACCACAGTCCCTTTATGTGGGGTTTGCAGAAAGCCCAAAAAACAGCCCAGCTGTTTGGGGCTATTCTGGGCCTGACTACACTTTAAAGGGGCTGCACAAGAAAGTCCAAAAAACAGCTGAGCAATGGGGAGGTGCTCCCAGCCGCTCAGCTGTTTCGCTTTCTTGTGCAGCTTCTTTAATGTGACTGCACAAGAAAGCCCAAAAAAAACAGATCAGTAACAGGGCGATGCTCCCCCTGCTCAGCTGTTTTTCTTTCTTTATAGGGACTGCACCAGAATGCTCCAAAACAGCTGAGCGGCGGGGAGGCCCACCCCACTTCTCAGCTGTTTTTGCAGCTTTCAGGAAACAGTGACTTGGAGTCTCTTTAACTCCCTGCTTTCTGTTCTATCCACAAATCATCACAAACTGCTTTAGAAGTTCCTGGAAGTTCATGACAGTAGACCCATCATGAACTGCAGTTTGCAAACCATGCACGGAGCAATTTTACTTCATGGTTTGATTCATGCCCATCCCTATCCAGGAATGCTTGAAGTTGTCCAGCCACCGTCTGTTCAATCACTTTCTTCAAGAATGAGACTGAATGATAACTGTTGAAATCTCCTGGGTAGGCTTCTTTAGTAGAAATTTCCTGTTTCAAAGCTGGGGTGACCACCCCCTCTCTCAATGAGGCATTAACTACTTCTTGGACCCATTCTACCCCCACTCAGGAAGGGCAAGGGATACACAAGAAGGTACTAGTTCTCAAGCCTCCAAGGACCCTATCTATACCAGCCTGAAGTATCTCAAACAGCTGGAAAGGTTGGCACCCTGAGTCTGCAACTATTAATGTAAAGTCCAAGTTGGTACAGATTCAAGAGAATTTTTTTCTGCAACTTGTTTATATGGACAGTAATTTTGTGAGGTAGATTAGACTGGGAGTGGATTCAAGTCACCCAGGGCCCTGGTGGCTGAGAATCAAAACACACAAACATGGGATATTTCTATTTTCACTTAAAAGTGGCCACAGAGACTAGCAATTGGATCAGAACAGAGGCAGTACTAAGGAATGGATTTGAGCTCTACCCCTCTCCCATTCCAGTTTCCTGCTCAAAGTCCTTCAGAGTTGCTACTAGCTCCGCTGAGCAAAAGATACAACCAATAGAAAAAATAAACAGGGTCTTGTGGGGGTGAAATGGCTTGGAGAAATGGGGTGGGGGAAAGGACTGAATACCTTTCTCCCACTTCACACTTCCAGTTGCCTCCAAATCAAAGCACCTGGAGATCAAATCTCCAGTTTCCCATACCACACCTGTGTTGGCTATGAGCTGTGTTTGGAAGCTTCACCACCTACCATATCAGTAGCTGCTATTGATGTGGACCAAGAGCATAAAAACATGGTGTAATAATGAAAGAGTGATGGTGTTAGAGGGAGAAGGGAATACATGACATACAACTGAAAAGGCTTCAGTGCTGACACAGTCTTAACTTCCTTCAATGCTTGGACTATAAACAGCCCACCTTGTGACAAGTGTACCCCTTTTGCTTGTAGTGTCTTTAAAGAATATTCCTGTATCATATTTTTCATTGCCTAAGTGAAATCTATTTTAAAAATTCAATGGTGTAAAATCAAAGGAAATCCTGAAAACAGAAGTTTAATTTAAAGAAACAGCCTTACCTGTTCAGTTTGGGATTCTGTGGTTTCTTCCAGGTACTTTTTGAATGGGTTTGGTTGGATAGGATCCTCTTTTTTATATATTATTTTTGCTTTCACAGTTGATGGGCGGATGACGCCAGGTCTTGTCTAGATTTGAAGAAAACGCAAGATAAAGGTACATTGGTTCATTTTAAAAAAATGTTATCAAAAGATATGCAAAGACCATTTATCGTGAGAGATTAACTTTCCACTCATACATACTGTGATAAAACCCCAGTTTTTACCACAGAGAATAAGGGAATCACTCAGCAGGTCCAGAGCTGCAGTCACACACACTAAATAATCCACTTTCAATCCACTTTCAGTGCACTTTTAGAAAATCCAGTTTAAAAGTGTACTGAAAGTGGATTGAAAGTGGATTATTTAGTGTGTGTGACTGCAGCCTTTGTCTCCAGCAGCAACCATCATGAAGATTCATCCCTTCAGCTTTATCCTATGCATTCTCTTTCACAAAGAGGTTTTATTCTTCACTGCCACCAGCAGGCCATTATGAGAATTTACAGTCTGATGACCTGTAGTGTAGTCAGACTATTGGGGGGGGGGGGGTCAGAATCCCCTTCCTGGTTCAGCCAATGTGGAGGTAGGGAGGGAAATTTTAGAAATCTCACTGGTTAGAGATATCCCAAAAGGCGAGCTGTCTCTGCTTTTCCATTACAATTTGATGAGAATGAGGCATAGCACAGGGCTTTCCCCATGATTATAAAGACCAAATAACTCAAATTTCAGGGGGGGGGGAATAATTTTTTGTCTTTTGGTATATCAGTGGCTGCAATGACTAAAAGCATATAACAAGAAAAAGACTAAAGCATCAGAGCACAAATAAAATGAAACAGGTATAAATGCAATCCTCTTTCCC